AATAAAAGAGAATGAGTGATGAATTAATTAATTTTATTGAATTAAAGAGTTTTTCTAGAAACATAGTTAGTAAGCAAATTATTTTATTACTGTTATAAAATACTTTGTAAAATTATATTTATAAGAATTATTTGCTACTTAGACATTTATTGTTAAATTATTGTTTACAAAATTACAAATTTAAATTAAAACAAACAAATCTCCGAGAAAATTCGGCAATGTTCGACTCTCGAACGTGCTAGAAAATTTACGTTCACAGGATGTGTTCACTCGTATTTTTTATGGGCTTACTTTTATTGCTCTTGTTTTTAAGGTTCAAAAACCAAATGGAAATTGTTGTTGACTTAAGGCAGTTGTCACTACATTACCGTAATTTTAATTTGTCCTTTTGTTTATTCAAAACAACGTATTACAAAAAAAATCTTGTTTTTACAAAATTTATTTGAAACTTTTTTAAACTGGAATTTAAAAATCAAATAAATTAATAATTTTTAACGCCTTAAAAAATGACTAAATCACTGTTTAATAGAGGAAAAAAAACATAAAAAGTGCCTTGAAACCAGATTAAAACTAATAGAAATTTTAAAATTATATATATACAAAAAAAGTAATACAAAAGCAAGAATCAATTTTCCATATTTTTAAAAACTAGGCCTTATTTATTAATGAATTAAATTAAATTAAAAAAACTGATATTATTTTGGCAATTTACTCCACAGTACAATTTATTTATTATTGTTCTTGGAAATAAAAATTGCCTGATTATCATTTTGCTTAGAATTTTTTGGCGTTTATTAAGAAACATAAAAATACTCCTGTCATTTTTGTGCTGTTTCATTTTATTCATTTAAGTACAGAGCTCGATACAGAGATTTTATAATTATTTATTGCAAAAAGTTGACAAAACGCGTAAAAATTCTTTTCCAACTGTTTCCAGAAAATTAGCCTCCAATACAGTTTATTATTATTGTTTTTGAATATAAAAATTGCTTTATTATGTTCCTGATTAACATTTTGCTTAATTTTTTTGGTGTTTATTAAGAAAAAAAAATACGTTTTTTCAACTATTTATTGCAAAAACTTGTACAAAACTCACTTGGAAATTCTAAAAAACGTTAACTTTTCCAACTGTTTTCAGAAAATTATCCTCGAATACAGTTTCTTATTATTGTTTTTGAATATAAAAATGGTTTAATCATGTTCTGATCAATATTTTGCTTAATTTCTTGGCGTTTATTAAGAAACATAAAAATACGCCTGTCATGGTGCATTTTTGGTGTTTCCTTTTATTTCCCACAAATTACATAGATATCCCAACTATTTATTGCAAAAGTAGCAAAAAACTCGCTTGGAAATTCGAAAAAACATTAATTTTTCCATCCATTTCTAGAAAAGTCCAGTACAAACACCCTTTGAACGCACCCGAACTCGAGAATATTCCCGATCGTTACTCACCCGAACATTCTCGAACGCGGTTTCCTATAAATACCGTCAGCGGCGCGCCAACTTCAATCAGTTTGAATCAGAGTTTCAAAGCGAAAACAACTGCGACTAAAAAAAGTAAAAAAAACCCTGCGAAGATGTCTCTACTACTCTTCAGCGACCCCTTCGAATACTCTCGCCCATCGAGAATCCTCGACCAGCACTTCGGCTTGGGACTCGACCCCGAGGACCTCCTCTCGCCACTCGTCCCCAGGGAGATGCGCCACTTGATGCGATGTCCTGCCGGTTATCTGCGTCCTTGGAGGAGCGCAGCCTCGCACCGTGACACCGGCTCCACCGTCACCTTCGACAAAGACAAGTTCCAGGCCAACCTGGACGTGCAGCAGTTCAAACCGGAGGAAATCAGCGTGAAAGTCTCGGATAACACCATCACCATCGAGGGCAAACACGAGGAGAAGGAGGATGAACATGGGTTCATCTCGAGACACTTTGTGAGGAGATACGTTTTGCCCAAGGACTGTGATGTGAGCAAAATCGAGTCCAAGTTGTCTTCAGACGGGGTTTTGAGCATCACAGCCCCCAAGATTTGCGCCTCGAAGGAGACCGAGAGGAGCATTCCGGTGGTGCAAACGGGACAGCCCTCCAAAGCCGTAGAGAATAAGGAGGAAAAGAAGAAGGAGAAATAAATGATCAAGACTGTGTTTAAAATTATTCCTTGCACTTATAGTATTAGTTTTGCAGACTGAATATGTAATAATTGTTTTGTATTTTCATTTACTTAAAATAAACTTTTCGTTCGTTTAAATCGACTTTTAATGAAAAAAAATTAATAATAAAACAATCACTTTTATTAAAAACACTACAAGTAAAAAGTGCAGAAATAAGTTAGTCCCTGAGTCCTCTTAAAAAACAAATGTCAAGTCTTAATTTTCAGCTGACATTTCAGCACTAAAGGCACATCATCAAATTTCCATTTGCTCAAATAAATATATTTCATTGTGTCCCCCACATCCACCTCTTCAAAATTGCACAAAACATCAATGTTGTGCAAATCATCAATTTTGAACACTTTCCTAGCGATAAATTTCTTTAAATACAAGACAGTCGTTCTGGTGGGAACCCTCACAAAAATTTGTTTTATTTGTACTGGATTGACGAATGCACATTCTAGACATAGATTTATCAACTCCTCTTTGTCCCCATCGTCTGGTTCTGGTGATTTCTCTTTGGTTTCCTCCCCTATTAGCATTTCCTTGGGACATGGCAGCCCCCGTTGTCTGTAAAACAGCTGTTCTCGCTCAATTTCACTTTCTTGTAATCCGGGGACTAATTTATAGACTATGTCTTGCATCGTCCGGTCGAAATTAATGTATTGCCGGGGGTACGAATGGTGTATCACCATATCACAAGTAGGGCAGTTGGTGTTGGCTTCTAAATGTTTAATAAGGCAACTTTTACAGAATGTGTGAAGGCATTCGGTTATGGCAGTGGCGTCGATTAAGTAACCTTTACATATATTGCACGTTATATAAGGGTTTAGAGCTTTTAATTTAATTTTACGATCCATTTTATCACTGTAACTTAACCTAGAAATATCCAAAATCGGGAAATTGAAGAAATTCAAGACTTTATAATTACTTACACTATTACCACGTTTAAGTATAAGCAAGAGCAACACTCAGAGGTGTTGTTACAAAGAAGATAAAGATAAATAAAAAAAATCACAGATTGGAGATTGGTAGTGTTTAATTCTTTGTACTCGTAAAGAAATTTTTGGTTTATTTAACACAAATCACATTTAGTTTTGGTTTTTAGTTTTGGTTCTGTGGGTCTACTAAAGATATACTAGAGTTTATTTATGTTACAACCCCCCATAAACCAGAGCAGTGGCATGTGTACATAACCTAAATCTAGGTCAATCAATTGAGATAACCTGTTGACCTTATTGATTTAACAATGATAAGAACATGTTGTTTAAAACTCTTCAATTGCATTTTTATGAATTTTGTAGTATATATTTAAGAAAAACATGTACTGTTTCACAAAATTTAAAAACTCAGCCGATATAGTAGACATCCTATTGTTTAATTGATATTTAAATACATTAATATTATAAAATTTACATCACAAAAAAGTAGGGTAATTAAAGAAAGTTATGTTATTCATTTTTAACTCATTATTTTCTATAAAAACTCAAATTTACGAAAAATGAGTTAAAAACCCTCGCGCCGTGTCGGTAAATCAGTGAGTTTCTTTAACGTCAGTTTGACATTTTTTTTTCATTAGGAAATGTTTTTATTAATAACTAGTTCAAAGTTTAACTTTTTGTGACTTTTTCCTCAAATTACTTTATTTACGTAATAACCCTGAGTGATAATGGCCACCTTGACGCGCCAGTTGGCCAATTCCATAAAATTGCAACTTAACCTCAACTTTCGCCGGTACAACAGCACCGCAACTAAACTCGTCTACGCCGAGCATGGGGACCCCATTAAAGTCGTCCACAAAGCAAGCGAACCCATCCCCGAGCCTAAAGACGACGAAGTCATCGTTAAAATGCTTGCAGCTCCTGTAAATCCTGCTGATATAAACACAATCCAGGGAAAGTACCCTTCTCGGCCCCCTTTACCCGCAGTTCCTGGAAATGAGGGTGTTGGAGAAGTGGTCTGTGTTGGAAAAGGCGTGAATGATCTTAAGGAGGGTGATCGTGTTGTGCCTCTTGTCAACGCTTTGGGTACATGGAGGACACACACTGTTGTCTCTAAGAACAACCTGCTGAAGGTTCCTAAGAAATTGGGGCTAGTGGAGGCGGCGACCCTCACAGTTAACCCCTGCACGGCTTATCGAATGCTCCGCGATTTCGTTGATCTCAAACCTGGAGACACTGTTATCCAAAATGGGGCCAATTCCGCCTGTGGACAAAACGTGATTCAAATTTGCCGCGCATGGGGCATCAGGAGCGTAAATATAGTGAGAGACAGGGCTGGTATCGACGAATTGCGTTGTTTCTTGCAAAATCTGGGGGCCAATCATGTTCTTACCGAAGAGGAATTGAGAAAAACCGAGATTTTTAAAAGCAGACAGCTTGAGAAGCCGAAATTAGCGCTGAATTGTGTCGGGGGGCAAAACGCTTTGGAGGTCATGAGGCATTTGGAGAAAGGAGGGACCATGGTGACATATGGGGGCATGTCGAGGGAGCCAGTGACGGTCCCCACCTCTGCTCTTATTTTCAAAGATTTGAGAATTAGGGGGTTTTGGATGACTGATTGGACGAAACAAAATGCCGATAGTGTTGACCGATTTGAAATGTTTGAAGAGTTGATTTCCATGATGACCACAAATGAATTGCAAGGGCCGGCCTTTAAAATGGTCGATTTTGAACAGTACAAAGAGGCCTTGATGAACACCATGACCATCAAGGGAATGATCGGCAAAAAATACATCTTGGAGTTTAAATAAATTGTTTTGTTTGTTGTTGTTAGATTAATAAGGATTTCAAAGAACCAAATAAAGAAATATTTATCAGTTTCATTTTGATTTTTATTTAAAGTAAAGAAATAAATTAAAACTTTTTTGGGTGTTATGCAACTCTTTTTACACGACAGTATTGTGGGTTGCAGCTCTTTCTCCATTTCATTTAAGAATTTTGGAAATTACCTTGGTCTCGACCTACCAAAGCCCTGGCCTCGCAGGTAAAAACATTCTTTCTTTTATTTCATTCCTCCCCGTCTATTAATTAAAAAAAGAATTTTAAAAGCGTTCTTCGCTCGCTCAAAATTCCACAAATTATAAAAATCCACAATAAAAATCTCGATTTTGATTATCTGGATTCAAGTTTGTGAATTTTTCAAACTCTTCTTTTGATCTTTTTTCTCCGTCTCTCTGGGTTATTAGCGAATTACTGACGTGCAACATAAACAACTAAGATGAACAGTAGATGGTAATCTTTGATAGATTTTGTAATAACTTTTCAAGAAAAAAGTATAATCGCTTGTGGGGGAAAAACAAAACCGCTCATAATTGCTGGGTGTTGACTGCCTCCATTAAAAATTTAAATACAATTATTTTGAGAAAAATGTGGGTACGCGAATTTTTCCATATGAAGATGAAAGGAAAAGTCCTTGCCTCGCAGCTGCATTGTTTTATAAACATTTTCTTCTTCTCAATGACACATCTCTAAATTGTCAGTATTGCGAAACTTGTCACTGGCGATATGCTTTCGCTTGAAAAACTTGCAAATGCGAATATCAAAAATCGTGCTGAATATACGCAACTTTCCACCGAATTAAATCGACTTGAAAAAGAGAAAAAGAATGAATTGCGAATGTTTAACAATGAGATACAACGCTTCAAATCGAGATACTCCAAGTCCAACTTCAGCACGGATTCACCCGAGGTATTTACACAGCAACACACCTATGCCGGAGGCCATTTCGCCCTAAATTACCCATAATCACAGACCGAGACTGATGGACGTTATCGCGATGTTGACTTGACACAACTTTTAGGCCTCCAATGTTAAAATGTACGAAACACACAACCCTGGATTTTGTTACAAGAGGAATGGGGAGCATAGGGTCTTGCAGGTTAGCGAAAACACGCCGCCAGTTGATTTCGAACGACTTCATTTTTTGTTATTTACAAACGGCGAAGTAGACATTGAGAAAATAGTTTGTCTTCACTTACTCTCCTCTCACGAAACCGACCATTTGACACCCCCGAGAAGACCCCGAACTTCTGGTGGTTTCATGAAAAAAGACTCGCCAGTGGAGCAACTAATCGAACGATCGAAAGAAAATCCACGTGAAGCTGTTTTACAAGCAATTTTACCGACTTATATTCTTGGTATTTGACTCGACGAGTTTCTTATCTCCGAATAACTGAATTTTAGATGTAAACAAAGGACACGCTAAACGAACAATTCTGGACGAAAGACTTTCAGCTCGACTTATAGTCAACGAGAAAATTTTAGAGTTAATTATGACAGTGATTACAGCTTTGGAAAGCTCAAATCCTGAAAAAGTCCAACATTTGATAAGTCTTGCGGACGATCCCAGTAGTCTGAAAAAGATTTTCAGAAAGCATCACATCCAAGAGTTTGTTATGACTCTGAAAAATCATTCATTGGTCAACAGTTGCAGTTCTTTTATTTTGACACAACCTAACAAAATCAGACCTAGTCATATTGAAATTCGCACTCCAACTGGTGCTCTCGAAGACTTAGTTCGATATATTCGTTCAAATGTCTTGCAGTTTCCCAAACGTAGTAGCTTTAATCTTCTAGATGGCGAGTCTAGGGAATTACTAACAATCGAAAGAAGTAAAATGTCTACAAAAGTTAGTACTATAAGCACGAAACCTATAACAATAACAATGCCAAAACCCGAATTTCGGAAAGACGAAACAGAAGAAGAAGCGTCACGTTTTCGGCGCAAAAGTACCAACTTTATCAAAAAAAATATAGAGTCAATTCCGAATTACAAAAGAGGTTCGGAAGATGAAAGTTTTAGTAAACCAAAAAAGGTCAGGCGTACTAGTACTGGTTCTAGTAGAAGAGTTTCAAGTAGTAGAAAGAGTAGTACCACCAGTGACAGAAGTATGGGTTTAGATTATCCAACAAAAAAACAGTGGGTATATTTTTATTTTGTCTTTATTTTATTTTATTTAAAACTCTACTAGTGATCGATTTTGACATTCTAGTAAGCAACCGAGTGTTTAAAATTCTAGTCTTAATTTTCCAACATGCACGTCCACGTGGTATGCAAGCTTAACATCACTTGCTGATGAATACTAATTTCAGTGTCCATAACAATGAAGAAATTAAAGTACATTTGAAGCAGACAACATGTCCTGCATGTATGGAAAAATGGAAGATTCCGCTTCCTTCACCCAAAGTTCCGAGATACAAGAGACCAAGTTCTGGGTCGCCTTCCAACGAACAAATGCCACAACCAATTATCAAAACTGATAGTATGAGAAGAATTAGTAATATGATTGAGAAGGAACAGTTTGTTTTGAACTCCTACGACCGGAGATACTCGAATGTGAGCAGTAGTTCGGGTCAAGGGAGGAGAAAATCGAGTGTTCAGAGTGGTTCTTTGGATTTGGTCGCTTTGAATATCCTCGATTTGGAGAAAATTCGGCATGAAATTAGAGAGAAGGAAACCCAGAAGAAGCTCGAGAAGTTTCTAGGTGCTTGAAGCTCGAATAAAGTACTTTCACCGTATTCTAATTGTTTACATTTCTTTCAGTGTTTGATTGCTTTCACTTTTTTTCATGTAACGTATTATTAGGCTAATTCGGCACTATATTGGGAGCAATTATGAAAAGAAACTGCAATGTCACAAATCTTTTCCTTTAACTTGTTTAATTAACCGCTCGAATCAGATTTGTCATAACTTTCCTATACCGTTAGCATTTGCAAAATTTGACGAATGTGAGGCTACGACTTCCGATAAATTATGAAAAAGTGACAGCCGTATCAAAATCGTGACTCGAGTTATTTAAAGTACAAAAAATTATTGACATATAAATTACTGCTAAGCTGAAGATTGAGACAAATGACATTTTGGAATTTATTTAAATGAGTTTGGAAGCCGTGTTTTAAAAATGCTGAGAGCATATCTGAATAAACATCGCAGGGTTTTGTTTTCTTTATTAAAGATTTTATGTCTGTAGATTTTATGATGTGAGTGGTTGGGACTTTTTGCACTTTTTCTTTATCATGTCTGCTGGCCCAGATACACTGTTGCCAGAAGAGAAAGAATTAGACTCAAAATATCTAACTTTATTTATTTTTCTTTTATTGATTTCTAAAATTATGAGGTGAGTTTTTTAGCTAGTTTTTTCGTGTTTCATTTTTATTTAAAATTTTTGATTTTTGTGTTCATTTTTATGTTTTTTGGCGAACAAAAACACGATTAGCCTGAGGATGACCACTTTGTGGTCGAAACGCGTTGTGCTACTAAAATAAAAGTTTGGTGTGACGGGCTAATCGTGTTTTTGTTCATCGTTTCCATACCAAGAAGATCCAAGAAGAAGAAGAATGTTTTTTGGCCCCAAACTAGCACACATGACTTCATCTTTGGCCGCTTCATTCCTTTCACATTTTTATTGTGATTTTTATTCGCAATTCTCATTTTTGACGGTTCAGGGTTACTCTCGCCATAAAACCATACTTTTGCAGTCTTTATTCTCGATTCAAACCATCGATAAAACTGTCATAGCAGTCACCTTGTTTATATTTTTCTCTCCACGAAAAGTTTCCATTTACCACCGGCCACGCTTCTTTAGGTAGCAAGGGTCGCTTCCTCGACAGGTGTACAACACCCAAATATTTTTTAAAGATGATGAACGACACGTTTTTTATAATACCTGGCTCCCATTATCATTCGAGTCTTGTAGACTTGTAAAGAACCTTAATATGCTTTGATAAATAAAGCTCGCAGCATGAGTCCCGACCCTTTCATTACAAGAGAGCTTTTACGACGTTCATAAAACCGAATTTTTAAATCAATTTTTTACGAATCACTTTCGGTATCTGATCTAAATGAATAAAAGAATTTAAACGAGCCGAAATTGATTAATAGATAAAATTGTCGAATTAAATACACCTGTTGTAATATGAGCTAATGTTAAATTATTTCCTTTCACATTTGTTTCGTTCTTTTCTAACATTGTTGGGAGTGTATTTGCATCCTTGTCGAAGATGCTAGACTAGACCAACCTTCGCAAAATGTTCATACATTTCGTAACAAATACACCTGTCCCTGGCAATTTAAAAATTATAGATTGGTATTTCTTAGCGTTTTCTGCTTCATTATTATCACCGAGTAATATCTTGGGAGATTATTAAATGTTACATCCAATTTACAAACTAGTTTTTAATTGAAGAGTAAAGCTCGCGCTTTAATTGAAACGGAGCTTTTGCCATTAAAGAATTGTGTTTTTTAAAATCACCCTCAATGCATTGTTTAATCATTTTTTCATCTCTATTGTTTGAATATAACATATTTTCTGTAATTTTTATGGTGCTTTCATGCTCTCTTATAATCTACCATTACGTTATCACGTAAGTAGTTCTCCCAGGCATTTTAAATGACAGGTAATAATGGTATAATTTAACGGAAACATGGAATGGTGAGGTATCTGGTAATAAACGTTACTGTAAAAGACTGAGTTTCTTAAACTTTGGGAAAAACGAATCGGCGTGTTGGCTTGTCATCACACTGTTAACAGATAATTACAAGATACTAAAGTGACATCAGAATTGCACGAATTTAGGATGCTAGTAAAGAAATGACAATAAATAAACCAAAAAACTTAAGTTCATACTTGAATTAAGATTTTAAAAGCAATAATTTAATTTTTCTATAATAAATATTAAAAATACAGGGTGTTCCGTTTTTATTGTTACAAATTTGAACAGGTGATAGGATATTCAGTTTTAAGACAAAAGTTTCTTATGAACATGTATCAAAAAATGTTATGTAAGCGAGCTACACCCCCTGAAAGAGATGCGTTTTTTAATGGAGTTTTTGCCACTATTGCAGAATAGATGAAATTACAAAACTTGGTACAGCTAATAACTTTTAAACACCTGTTGTCAAATTTTTTTATCACGGACGTCTTAAACGGTAAGACAAATTTAATTTTTATCCTCTTTATGGTCTGTAACACATATTGTACTCACAAAGGTAAGTTGTATCGAAAAAACGCAAGAGATCAATTTTTTGTGAAAAACTATGAAATTTTGAATTGTGTGGTTGAAAGTGGCAAGTACCAACAGCCAAAATAGTTTTTATTCTAAACTCTCCCAATTTAGGTGGCTCCTGAGTAAAAGTTTCGACATTTTATCTTTGAATTGGGTGTATAAAGGTTATCAGTTGTACCAAATTTTGGTTACAATGATTTCTGAAATATTGGAAAAAAAACATTAAAAGATCCACTCTTTTTAGAGGATGTAGCTCTCTTATATAACATTTTTCGAGCGAGTTTAACCCCTCTAAGCCCTGAACTCTGTCTCTGGCTGCGCCACTGGTCTCAAGTAAAACCTTTCATTTATTAATTTAGATACAATTTTATTGTTATCATTTTGTATTTCTATAAATTTAGGTAATTTCTAATCTTGTATCACGGTTATTTCTAATCCATGTAGGAGCGGTAATTATCTCTTAATAAGCCCCCTGAAGTGGCACCAATTGGAGTATTAACCGATAAAAAACGCCCCCGATGAAACCTTGACAATTTTACAATCGATTTGGGACCCGTTCTATTTTCTCCCCGAGAAAATTTATTAAAATCGTTATGATCTTATTACCTCGTTTCGTGGAAACACAATCGTGAAGGATTTATTACTCAATGAATGCAAATATTTATTGTAAATAAAACGTTTTCTATGGAACAATACGTTATACCGCACCCTGGAACTGTCCGATACATAATTAATACTCATATTACAACAAAAATGATGAACGCTTCATAAAGTTTTTATGGGTTTTTGTGCGCAAGTGGTGTCAAATCTGGGTGGTGCGGTGGTCAAAGTGAAATTTTTCTTTTCGTGGGCGTGTTTACAGTTTGAAATCGTGGGTCGTAAATACTAAATAAGTGTCATTAAAAGGCGTAAGTAGAGCACAATGCGCCGCCACTGCGTCTAGCAATAAACCACTGTATTTCCTACAGATTATCAACTCGACTTGATTTATATTTATTTACTTATATTGCTATTAAGTCACTATAAAGTGAAGTTGAAGTTTCTCGTAAGTTTCTCTACGTATCATGGAATTAATTCCATCATGATTATTGCAATTACTTACGACGAGTCGTTCAATCGAATTAATTTGTTATCTATAACGACTCATAAATTATCGGCGATTATGTCGTCGGTTTAAATGAATTCGGAAACGTAAACAAAGATATCGTCGTGATACGCTGACGGAATTTATTAAAGGCCTCTCTTGAAATGCCCATTTGCAACATTTTGATTAGATATGAGTCATTTAGTATCGAGAGCTTTGCTGAATCATCTGGGGAGTCGGACAAAAGCACTGTTCATGATGGAAAATTGCATTGTGGGCGACTTTGGGGCCACTCAAAAATGGCAGTGGCGCCTTTAAACGAAAGTGATCGAGGGCACATGGCCGACGATTCGGGACATCAAAGCTTTAATTGCCTTTTGATGCGAGATAATGAGGGTCTTTAACCTCAAGATGACCACAATGACCTACATTGAACAGAAGGAATCCAGAAATCAAGCGAGATGCGAGGAAAATCTCACACTTCATTTTTATTTGAATCCAATCAACCTGTGAATCATTTTCATAAAAGTCTGCAAGAATGATGGGAAAGATTTATTGAAACACGTAAAAAAGTTATCGCAATTTTTATAAATTAGATATACGAAAGCTGAATCTGCCATTTTAACACTTGCAGAAAATTCAAATTAAGTACCATTTAATTTATAATTAATTAGGCAATTATGAGGGTAAACCAAAATTAATTGCTTCTCAAGGTATTTGCTAAAATGCCTATAAAAACAAATTAATAATTTAATCACAACAAAAACAAATTAATATTTATTTAAACTAGCTATTTACAATTACAAATTTATTTATAACATTAAATGGTTTGTAAATATTTAATGTTTATTTATTGAACGATAGGAAATAAGTTATGTAAACAGATTGAGGATCTATTACTGTTCTTTATAATCAAAACTTATTACCAATACCTAGGTTTTGTCTATTATATTTAAAAAATACAGAATTTGGCTAGAAAAATGCTAATTGAAGGCCGAGCAAAGCGAGACCGACAGTGGGTGAAAGACTTAATTCTATTTTTAATGATATACAGTATGTCCCCGGATAGGTAAAATGACTTGTAAAAGATAATAATTTGTTATTTCGTTTTTTTTTCGAGATTTTTTTTAATAGCAATTATTTAATTATTAAGTAATTTGTGTAACTATTGATAAATAAATCGTGATTTCACTATGTGAAATGTCTGGGTGGACATTTCAACTCTTAGGACTTAAAGTATTTCAACTCCGGTTAGAAAAAAGCCACTTCAACTGTTTCAATAGGTAGAGATGCACAAAGGCACAATTTTAGACCGTTTGAAGATAAAGATACTTTACTAACGAGTTCCATACAAAATTTCAGCGCGATGAAACAAATGTATCTATTTATTTTTTACATTTTATGTTTATATGTTTATTTTATATTTTTATATTTATAAAATAATAAAGAACCCTACACTTTTTTGACGGACGTAAAAAAACTAAATTATCTGTTTAGAATTTTGTGGTATTAAAATGTGAACTAAAATATAATTCAATATTCAATTGATTATGAAGAAAAAAGTTTTATTTTCTAAAAGTGTGATTTTATCGGTCTTTAAATAAATAGGTTTGTTTTTAGAATAATAAATTTGTTTTTAAATTATAAAAATTGAACTATTTTCAATTATAAATCATTCGAACATATAAAGTATTGAGGTTGGTTACAAATCTACCATTTCGATTTCGAAAACGCAGTTACGAAAGAAACAGATTTTATTTGATGAAATAATTTTATGTGGTGAAAAGTAATATTTATTCCGATTTTTGAATTTGACTTTTTTAATGTTCTTTTGTACCTTTAGTCATAATTTTGAACTTAACAGTCGCAATTTAAAAAAATATTTTATGAGTTTTTGTTTTTTTTTAAGATGAATATACAGAGACTTCATTTAGGTATGTGTCTAATTCACAGACTTATTTATTAGTTATTAGAAAATTTCTCATCAGTTTCCGATTCAGATTAAGCCGTCTGGTACAGTTCTAATGAATAATTTATATTGAAAGGAAATTACTGGAAAATAGGAAGAAAGTAAATACCAATTTTCATATCGTCTTTTTTGTTCAATTCAATGATATTTCTTGCGATTAAATCTTCTTCCGTGGGATGGAAACTACGTTTTGTGTAATTACTCTTGAGAACAGTATACAAAAAACGAAAGGAATTTACATTAAAATAGTATAATCAGTGCTATAAACGTTTCTTTGTTTGTATTTCTAATTATACGAACTAAACAGCAATTAGTAGTTTATGTGCAAAAAGCTGGTACTGTGCTAATGTATGATTAAATAAATATTTTACTCGGTTTAATATACTTGATTACACGTAACTGTACGTCATTTATTTTTCAGACTAGTGTTGCAAAAACCGCATTATCCTATTGTACCACAGTTTTCGCAACTTTTCGAAAAAATAATAAAATAATGCCATAAAAACTGGAATTGGTGTCAAGTTCGTTGTAATCTTTTTGCCAAAAATAAGGCCACTAGATAAGATTTCACTGAAAAATCGACGTTTTGCCAAAAAACAGTCATTATTGTGTGGTGGGTGGAACTAACGGTAAGAAATATTTTTAATTGAATAATATCGGTCCCGAAGCGGCCTTTTGAGTGCCGCCGTTGTTACAAACGTCAAAAGAGTAATGGGAAAAGTGGTTATCAATAAAAATAACAGTAACTCGTCAATAAATCAAGCGAATTCTCTCTCTGTGAACAATTTTTAATTAAAAACAATCTGAAAAAAGCGCAGTACCCGAATAAGCATAAATTAAGATCGACCGCTAACGAAACCACACGAGTGTATCGTAATGTTTTTGTTTCGCCTGCGCCGACTACCTGTTGAACGGAAAAGATTTCAAAGTAGTCGTAGCTTGAGTGTGGATGTAGTGTAGATGTTTTCAAATTAACTGTTTTGTTGACTCTTAATAACCGGGACGCTAATTCATGTGACTTTTGTGCTTTTATCAGTGATAACCGCTTTTTGTCCATACGGATTTTAATCGCATTACCTGGATTCAGCGACCACTTGATTGGTAAACCTACTTTTGACTTATTTCAATAATTACTTGTTTATACACTCGACTGGCGTTTTTAGGGCTTGAGACATAAAATCAGCCAAATTTTTGATTTATTACACCCCCTAAACCGTAAATTGGGGGCTGTAAATCGTTCATAACCTAAATTTATAACCATCGAAAAAATGATCATGTCCTCCACTTAGCCCGCATAATCAAAAATTAATTTAACGTAAAATTGTTATTCAATTTCTAGCAATTTGTTATTAATAAAGTGCGATAATGCAGAATTGCATGGATGCTCTGCTATGTAAACAAAAAATTATCAGTTAATACAAGCCGGTCCGAAACACAATAGCCAAACCAGTAGCGTAACGTTAATCAAACAGAGAGGGGTCAACGGACCCAATATTCAAATTTGAACAAATAATTGATTTGCAATTAATTGCGGGGGTTTTTACAGTAGTTGGATTTTGGTTTATTGAAGTTGGCATATTGTAATTATGCTTCAAGGCCTTGCATGTTTGGTTAAATTGTCTCATTGTTCGTTTTTTCACCAAAGTATGTTTATTGACGATGTTATAAGTAATGTAATTGCCAATGAATGCTTAGAAGGATTGGAATTTGACCACAAGAATATAGTCTTTGTAAAAAGGCCTAATTGTGGCCGTTATCTACAACTATTTGTAGGAAAAGAGTACTCAACTTGGCTTAAAGTAAGTCATTTAGTAGTCGTCCCACTGTGTTTAGATGGTTTTTGAAAGTGGAAGCTTGTTAGAGAGGCATTTATTCAATACATTAACCACTCGTAAACTTACAAAGTAAAAGTACTTAGTTTTCGAATTAAGGGACTAAGTAGGGAAAATTATAGACCCGCATTATTGGACAGTATTCCAATAATAAAGCATGGAATCTAGTATGTTCGCAAACACTCTCCTACGCTTTTCGCACCTGCAATCTACTAATTAATTTCTAATTCGTAAAAAATCGAGATCAACCGTTAATTCTCACGTAGGAAGCGTTGGAATGACCTGACCCGCTAGATGGCGCCTGTGATTTCCCCCGTGTTGGGCGACAAATGTGCAAATTCAATTCCATTGTTTAGCATTTTTGAATTCTTTCGCTGGGATGGTCGTCGCATCTTAAATTTTGGTCGCCGTGGGTGTGAAAATAATTTCGGTCGTTGAGTTATGATTTCGCGATGGGTGTGTCCGGAATTATCTAATTAATGGTTCAGGTTTGGTGATAATGAAGTCGTGCGTATGGGTCACGCAGATTCGACTTAAGTCGACAAATCCCTTACTTAAGTCGTGTGTTGAAAGCGATTTCGGTTCAAAGAACTCGAAATTTTGCAATTTTTGGGCCAATTGAGTTATGATTCATTGTGGCGGTGTGTTTGTTGTGCGTGAAAAACGATGCACGTGACAAGAATTTTTTGGCGGGGAGTAGGTAACCGCAGGCGTCAGGTCCATTTTGACACGAGACGACAACCGCAAAGGTCAATCTGCAGAGGGCAGGGACTGCAGGAAAAATTCGCGTCGAGTCTGTCGACAATCGCAACTCTTGGTTTCTTGAAACGCCTTTCGATAAGAGAAAAGCCGATTTTGTGGCCTAATTAGTGCGCCGGCTTTTGTCATTTATGCGAAATTTATGAGGACAGCTTTATATTCTTGCAACTTTCTTGAGTTTCTTAATTAGCGGTTAGGAGCTGGACGATTTTATACTGGTATCTATTGGAAATTTAATGGAAAGAAGGAAGTTGAGTCAAGCTGAGATGAGTCAACGACATTCCTGAGTACATCTTTTATTGTTAGAGATATGGACAAGTGTGTGCAAGCGATGAATATTTTATTTTCTGAAATATTACTATCTTGTGGTCAGAAAAATAAAATTGAAAAATAACAATATGAGTACTTGAAAGAGTGAAATAAGAGTTACGCACATTTCAAAAATAAAAACAAAAAGTAAATACTATAAATGGAAATAGAAAAGCAAAATAAAAATAATATAATGTTTTAACAAAGCTATCCATCAAAGTTTAATTGTGAACGAACCATCGTATTGAAAGTTAATAATCTGACATTTGACACCTCGCCGGGTGTATTAAAACTTGTGGTCCGTTCACAACACACTCATATCACCGCCAACTATGACACCAAGTTTAAATAAACAGCCGTTATAAGTGAAAGGAGAATAAAAAGTTCAAATTCATGATAAAAAAATCAGAATTTAAAAATTAATTTTTGAACGTCGTAACTTATTAACTTAAGGCCTGTAATTTAATGACTTAAATTTTATAAACATAGACATTTTCTGCTGTATGATTAGTGATTAATTTTTATAGTTCTAAAAGAAGGAATTTAATGAAACCACGTTTTTATTGTTTAAAAAAAACAGATTAAACGGTTTACTACTAAAAATTTTAATCGCAGGCGATAAAATTTGGTAAAAAACTAGATTGTTATGGTTTGACAAAAATTCTACATTGCTTAATTGTAAAAAATCGTTTTTTGAACTATAAGAATGGTAATTTGTTAAAAAAAAAACTGATTACAAATTTTAAAACTAGAATTGTAACTGGAAATTTGAAATTGAGTCGACTTTTCATATTTTCAGTGGGTGTAAAACAAAAAACTTGATAAATTAATCGTTCTTACAAATAACACAAAAAGTTCTTTTTCAGATTTTTTATTTTTTTGCTGAATTTAATGTATTTAATATTGAGAACATTTAAAAACAATACAATTTTTTGTCTAGTACAAAAGAACAAAATAACAAATAACAGTAAAAAAATACAAGAGTGGTTAATGTGTGTATACAATAAAAAATGTAAATAAAATAGTACATGTTCAAAGTTACAAAATGCTTCAAATTGTTGAATTTTAAAAAATAATACACTTCTGTCAAATGTGAAAAAAAATTCGGGAGTAAAATAAGGGTATGCAAAAGCTGAATAGTTTCAAACATTAGTCAGTATTGTTTCCAGGTTTTTTTCCAAATTTTTGGAAATATAAAAAATATCATTTTTTGATTTTTTTTCAAATTTAACGTGCAATATTGTAAAAAAAGTTGATGAAGATTATACAATGTTCAGAAATTAATTCCTTTAATTCTTTTGTAAAACTTTGATCAATCGGCCCAAGAAAACTGTTTGATGGATCGATTTAAAAATTTAAAGTTATTGAGGCTACATTAAGCTGTAAAAAAACCTGGGCACGTTCGTCTCTTTATCAATATTTTTGAATAAAAATAACAAAAAAAAAAAACAAACAACTTGTTTTTTTCTCCTTTTTTAAATGATTGTGGGAAAATTTTTTTAATCTTTAAAAATCATTTTGTAGGATGTTTATTCCAGTTTTTGAAACTATCCTTACAGTCATTGGTTGCTGAGATACCGATGATCAAAGACAAAAGGATTTTTTTTTCATTAAAAGTCACAAATATTTCAGAGATAAATTTGGTGTAAAGAAAAATTAAAAAAGCAAATTGATGCTGAAAGAACAAAATTTTCTTCGTCTGTGGATTAATAAAATAATAAGAAATTTATAAATTTTTTCTCGCTCTATTTCTTAGGATTGTGTAATAACCGTAACTCAGAAAAAATTTTTGGCAAAACACCTCGACTAGGAACTTGAAGCTTTAAAATGGATTTTTTAATCTAGATACGACCATTTTTCATTGAGGTACAGTCTTTCAAGACAAAAAATTTAACAATTTTTTTTGTTCCCTTAATTTCTTGGAATATTACATACATATTTAAAAAGTTTATGTAGAATGTTTTGTTGTTTTGAAGTACCCCTTTGAGATAATAACTTTTTTTATTTTTCACTGAAAAGCTTAATTTTGAATTAATTTGAAAAGAGGAAAAACTAAATAAAATAACATAAAGATGAATTCGATCTATTTTCTTAGGGGGGAAATAGAGTAATAAGAAATTTAACACATTTTTGAATCAAAATTAATTTTAAAAAATGCAACGTTACCTACTAAAAAAAGATTAGAATATGTACGAAATTCCAAATATTATTAAGACCCATTTTCAATGGGTGCATCAGCAAATTGGGGGTTTTGCGGGAATACTTGTTTGGAAAGAGAAAAATTGAAATTTCATCACCGCTGTGGACGCATTCTTGCCGTTATTCGTGTTATTTTCCAACTCGTGTTTTTGTGTCAATCGTATATTGAAAAATTCCGTTGTGGGTATTTATCATCATCACATTCCATATCGATTTTTCCCGATGTAAATCAGTCCTCCACGGCTGGTTATATCATAATAAAGCAAGTCGAGTTGTTCATAATAACTTCCTCGATCCATTGTATATTTTCTGCTGTAGAAGTAGCAGATAGCGAACACCGCAAGTCTAGACGAACAACTGTTTTTGTTGTTACAGTGTTGGAGCTCAGAATTTTACCTGGATTACATAACCGGAGTTTTATGCTAGAGCGCTTCTCTATCGCAGACTGATTGCATTTTCTTCTTGTGTTTTGAGACGACCCAAACCAGCAAAAGTTTAATTAATCGCCAATTCGGTTTTTAATAACGAATCCGCGAAAACAGGTTGAGAATGACCTTTCGAGTCCTCCAAAATGCCTCGCTGACTCACTTGGTTCAGGTCTACCAACCCATCCAAAAGAAAAAAAATCCAGCAATTACTGCGCCATTTACATATCGCAATTTTCTAAGAAAAAATGAAGCATTGCATGTGGAGTGAGTGATATAATTGTATCCGCGAGTCTTCCACGAACTCACCTCCTAGGAGTCAAATTACACACTATTTTTGAAAAAGAAAATTTTTACTATGCCGGAAATAATTACCGCTCAAATGTGTCATCTCGTGGAAAGTTGATTCGTTAAAAACGTTGAAACCGGGTAAAAAATTTTTGGTGTGGAAATAATTAAAATTTTATTTACTTCTAATTGGTATCAATTATCTCCGGAGATGAGTTGGAGATAAGAACAGTAACGTGGAAATGTATGTCAAGTCTTCTAAAAGCGCTAATGCATTTACGTTAGCATT